CTTTATAAATTGTAGAAGTTTATTAAAGGGTTTAATACTTAATTACTTTATTTCTTAGGTATGGTCATCTCCATTTCTATAGTAAAGTTGCCGCTGCTAACTTTTTTTATACGATGGAAAAAGAAGAATTTGAAAATGGACCGTCTGGTAGTACAGTTAAATTTGGCAAGGCAATGTACTTTAAAACATCTTCCAAAATGGGTTATGTTATTGTAAGTACTACTGGTATTATTTTTTATTGTATACTCTTAAATAATTAATTTAATATTTACATATAATTGTTTTATTTACATATAATTGTTTAGTACAAACGACCAGAACAACCAGGTGCTTTGTCTTTAGTTGAACGTGTGTCAAGGCTTGAAAAAAAAATCGAGGAGATCGAAACAAACAAAAAAAGAAGGATCAGTGACCCTAGCCAATAATGAAAAGTCGGCTAAAGCCAATTTTTGGGTTAGCCGGTTAATTTCTTTAGATCGATTTTTTTATTTTTTTTTTGTATATAGAATTGTTTTTTTTTGTATATATATACAAAATTGTTTTTTTGTATATACAAAATCGGTTTTTTTTGTATATATATATTGTAAATAAAAGTTATAAATGAAGTTTTAAAGTAATTAGTAATTATATGTAAGGGCCAAAATTTTAAAAAATATTACAATTAAGGCTCTAAATTTATTATAAATGTAATAAATAATCTTAAACATATTACTATTTAATCAGTATTGCATTTATTCTTCTAGCGCATTTCATGTAAAAATTATAATCATTTTAAAAGTAATTTAACTTTATAAATAAAAATGAGCTAAATATCTTCGATTAATGCATAGTGATCTTCACAATATTGATCACTAGTTTGGTATAGCGACAGGACAGTTTAGAACCAAATAAACATTACAATATCAATATATATCGTATTTAACCTAGTCGAATTGTTTCTTGGTTAAAAGAAAGTTTATTAAGTATAAAATGTATTATACAGTTATAACATTGGAAGAAACACTATTATCATAACGCAAAGTTATTAGGCCCTTAATTGTAAAAATTTTCAAAATTTGGGCTCTTATATGTTAATATTTTCGGGGCTCTTATATGTAAATTCTTTAAAAAATAACAAGAAAATTAAATGTAGTACTTATCTTGTATCAATCAATTCCCTCTGGGCAGGGCCGATGATTTTCTGTGATTCACAGAAAACAGTAGAATTTCTCTTAATCACGGCTAACCACAGAAATCATCCTTAGTCATCGCAGAATATCACAGAATTCCAAAAAATACACATAATATCACTGAATTCATATCGCAGGATTTGACCATAAATTCAAGCCGGCATCGGGAAATGCAGTAAAGGTAGACAATAAATCAACGTAAATTATGAGCATGTTCACCGGAAATAGTTGGTTTGAAAAAATTTATATCACAGAAATTACAATATGATACCACATAATTGTAAAGAAATTACAGAATTTGTCTTAACCGCACGCAGAATTTAGTCTTAACCACCGCAGAAAATTATCAGTCCTGCCTCTGGGTCCAAATCTGTAATCCAGGCTTCTCCAGCGAATTACAGACTAGCAAGAGAAGACAAACAAGAAGGTGATACTTATTTTCATATTAGGCCAGTTTCTTTCCGGGTTCATTTCGTGTAGCTCAAGCCTAGAAAGAAAAAAAAAAAATCAATAGTGAAAGAATGAACACGAAAAAGCAACAGAAAAAGAAACTGAGGACTAGTAATCATACTAATCAGTTCCTTTCAAGTTTAGACCATTACCTGCTCCAATTTACGTTCGCTGGCGAAGCTCAAATCTAGAAAAAAAAAAACATTAGTAGAAGAATGAACATGATAAATAAATAAACAAGAAAAAGAGAAATCGAAGACTGGTACTTATCTTATACCAGGCACAGTTTCCAATCTAGAACTAATTACAGGCTCCATTTCATATTCTTGGTCTAGAAAGAAAAGGAGAAACTGAAGACTGAACTTATTCTATACTAGTCACAGTTTTTCTCCGGGTCTAGATCTCATTACAGGCTTTATTTAATGTTTCTCAGAGAAGCTCAAGCCTAGAAAGAAAAGAAACATTGGTAAAAGAATGAACAAAAAAAAAACTAACAGGAAAAAGATAAACTGAAGACTGGTACTTACTTATCTTACACCTGTCACAGCTTCTTTCCGAGTTTAGATCTCATTACAAGCTCATTTTACGTTCTCCGGCGAAGCTCAAGCCTAGGAAAAAAAAAAAACATTAATGAAAGAACGAATACGGAAAAAAAAATAAATAAAAAAAAGAGAAACTGAAGACTATATATTTATACTAGTCACAGTTTCCTTCCATGTTCAGATCTCATTACCAGCTCCATTTCACGTTCCCCGGCGAAGCTCAAGCCTAAAAAGAAAAAAATAATATTAGTGAAAAAAAGAAAAATAAAGAAAAAGGGGAAAAGAATGATTGCCTTACATTTATTCTCTAACTCATTCTATTCTCATATAGTGATCCAAGTCGTTAGTTGAAAAACCAACTATATAGTTGACTAAACGATTGGAAATTTTTTAATCAACTAATCGTTAGTTGATTATCTACATAA